CCTTCTCAGAATCAACCGAAAAGATGGAAAGAGATGTTTCCTTGGAAATGTAATTGCCTACAGGTGAAAGAAGTCTGCAGATAAGGAAACAAGCTAAACATCTGGAAGGAAAGCTGAGGGAAGGGATAAGATGGCAGCTATGAATTATGAAATTTCCCTTCTCCTTGGAAGAGAACCTCTGTAGGGGGAGACAGATGCATCCCGCTGCTAAGCACACAGTAGGTGTTCCATTAGTCCTTTTTGATTAATGCCTTCTGCGGTGGTTCTTCAGTGTTCACAAATTCTTTACCACTCCTCCCTTCAAAAGGCAGAGCCTAATTCTCCCTTCCTTAAATGTGGGCTGGATCAGCGAATGACTTGTAATGAATAGAATATGGTGGACTGATAATGTATGACTTCAAGTTAGGCCAGAAAGGGTACTGCAGTTTTTGCCCTGCTTTCTCTTGGATGATCCACTCTAGGAGAAGCCAGCTGCTATGCCACTAGGACTCTCAAGCATCTCTGTGGAGACAGACAAAGTGAGGTCTTCTGCCAACAGCCAGCATCAACTTGCCAGCCAAATAAATGAGCCATCTTGGAAGCGGATCCTCCAGCCCCAGTCAAGCCTTCAGATAATTGCAGCCCTGGCCAAAAGTTTGACTGCAACCATAGCTTGACTGGATCCAAACCACCCAGCTAAGATGCTTTAGAATCACCATGAGAGATAACAAATGCTTGCTGATGTTTTAAATTGCTAAGAGGGAGGGATCTGGAGAGACCCAGCAGGAGGAAAAGGTTTTTGTTTTCTGGATCAAGTGCGCTCAGCTGGCAAGCTCCTGTAGTGCAAACAGCTTCACCCCTGCCCAGTCCCTAGAGTGACCAGCAACGCCAGTACCTAGGAGCTTCTCCTGACACTGACCCCCGTGGGCAGTAATGTAAGCAGAGCGCCTTCACCTCCAGCAGCATTTGCAGATTCTCCAGCATCCAGCGCCCACTGTGCATGTGGCTTCTCCAGCACGAGGCTCCTAGATCATGCATGAGCTCTCTAGCATCAGGCTTCTGCAGTCCATAGAGGCCAGCAGCACCCAGCGGGCAGCAGCTTGCCCTGTACCCTGCCCAGGCAGTTTTCTAGCCTTTGGTCTGGCAGCCCCCTGTGAAGAACTTTCCTTGGCATCCCAGAGGGCAGATCTCTGGCAAGTTTCACTCTCATGACAGTACAGTGACTTTTCTGACATCTGGCGAGCCATAGGCTATGTACTCAACAAGGTCTGGAATTCAGCCGTAGTGGGGGATGGGGGGGTGCCTCTTCCTTGGGTGCTCTTTCCTCGACCTCAGCCATGGGGGGTAGGGGTTACTCCTAGATCTACTATTCATGTATTCTGTACCCTTTACTCACCAATTCTTTTGTTACTCTAATCACCTGGGGTAATAATTATATTAAAATGTCCCCGTTCAAGTTACTGTGGGGTTTCTCTCTCTTGATCGGACCCAGATTGAGACATTGCGTTTTGTCATAGTTTCTTACACAGCAACAAATAACCAATACACCCCTCCCCATCTCATTGCCCATTGCTAACTCCCCTTTTATTACCATCAGCCAATGGTTACCATGTACCTACGCAGAGCAGGCTCTTCCTTCAAGGTTTTTATCAGGAGTCATATATGACCTACTGCAAAAAGAAGAACAAGGTTTTTAACAAAGCTTTAATTAGCCAAATGCCAGATATAAGGATCAGACGTGAAGGGCTGCAGGAAGCAGCAAAGGCTTGTTGGAGAAAGCTCTAGGCTGCAGTAGGGTGTCACCCAACTCTGATGACTCTATAGGACACAGCCCAGTAGAAAGGAAGGAGAAGAGCATTGTAGGTAGGGGGAACATTGTATCAACAGCCTAGAGGCAAGACCATGCGGTAGAAGTAGGGCAGCAGTGACTAGTTCACTCCAGTTTGGCTGGTGAAGAGATTTGACGTGGTAGGCTGGTGGCAAGCAAGGTGACCAGATCATGAAGGTCCTTGAATACAAAGCTAATTCGTTTGGCACCATCATGTAAAAAAGAGGTCCAGTGACCATATCTTTGAGGGCAAAACTCAACCTACTTTTGTTGTCAGTACAATTATACTTGTCAGATCACGAGACTTCGCTTTGGAGCTGAGAAAAAGTTCACCATGACGGTTGGGAAGCTGTGAATGTTTTTGAGGATGATGCAGTGTGGCGTTCTGAAATTAGCCTGGAGTGTGTAGGGTCAAAGAGAATGGAGACCAGAATTAGAAAACTCAGGATTCCTCATGTAGGGAATAGGGTAGCAGCAGTGGAAAATGAAGAACTGGCTAGATGTGGGATGTTCTGGATGGTTGGCTGGATGTGGTGGACAGAGGTTGGAGGTGATGCCCAGTACTTAGCTGGTGACATAGGAACAGAGGGAGCTGGCTGAGGAGTGGGTAGGATGATGTTGGCTTTTGACAGGTTCCCCTGGGGTCACTGCAGTGTATCCAAGAAGCCTGAAGGAGCAGCCCTCAGGCCTGCACTCAGGAGAGAGACAAGGGCTGATGATTCAGATCTGGTAGTGATGTCCACTCAGAGGTGACAAGTCAGACTTCGGGAGATGGTGATGAGGATGGTCCCCAAGTAGGAACCGGCTCTCTGATCAGCCCATCCTCATCAACAACCCTCTTCCCACCCCCACTGACCCAAGAGATGAGGTCCTGGGTCGGGAATTCAGTGGGGACACATTTCCCCAAGTATTCAGTCCTAAACAGACCCCTAAAAGCCAAAAGCACTGTCTTCCTCAACTGCCACAGATTCTGGATTAGAATCCAGAGTCCGCTCTCATGGGGCTCAGGCCAAGGAATATGAAAGCAAAAAGCTTGAGTCTAGGAGGCTCTAACCCTATTTCTGTCCCAGATCAGTCATGAAACCTTGAGCAAATCACTTTTCCTCTTTGGGTTTGTTTTTTCTTTCAGCAAAATGACAGAGTTGGCCTTAGAATAGACTGTGGTCCTGCCCCTAAGACCACGGGTTCTTTAGCTGGGCCAACATGTTCTTCCTCCTAAATCAAGTAGTAGCAGATAGAACCACTCCAATTTTAGGGTTTTCTCCCATAATGTTTTCTCTTTTTTTAATGTTCATTTATTTTTGAGAGAAAGGGCGACAGAGCATGAGTGGGGGAGGGGCAAAGAGCGAGGGAGACACAGAATCCGAAGCAGGCTCCAGGCTCTAAGCTGTCAGCACAGAATCTGTTGTGGGGATCAAACTCATGAACCATGAGATCATGACCTGAGCCAAAGTCAGACCCTCAACCGACTGAGCCACTCAGGTGCCCCCCGTAATGTTTTCTTAAACCATTAACAACCGCTACTGTTTGTTTTCCAGATAACACAGGTAACACAATGAATGAACACATGGGAAATGCACTATCTGGGAATTCTGAAAATAGGTGACCATATTTGGTTTGATAGTCTTCTTGTTTCTGGAGACTACATGGTTATGGTTTTATATTATTCACATAATCACTCTGGTTTCTAAAGCTAAGTTCTAGTGGCATTTCAGGGTGCTTCTTAGAGAGTCCTGGGACTCCCCGGTGCCTGCAACCCAAAGAGACTGGTCTGCAGACACATAGGACTCAATGCTCTCTAGGACCTTCCCAGTGTCAATCTTTCACTCTCTCAATCTTCGATCTTTGGTGAATACCCTTCGCGTGCAGAACATTGTGTCTTACATTCACTAACTCACATATCCCTCATGTAATCCTCTCAACAGCCTCAGAAGATAAGTTCTCTCATTATACAGATTATTATATATGTCATTTTATAGGTGAAGGGACTGAGGGCTCACATGGGGTACATGGCTTGCCTAAAGTCACACAATCAGTACGTGACAGAGCTGTATTTGAACCTGAGAGTCTGATTCCAGAGCTCTCACTCTTCTAATACGCCTGCAGTCTCTGTCATTAATGCTTTTTCCACCAAATATTTTCAGTTCTTGGACACATAGTAAGACTGATCTCCCCTACCCTCTATGGCTAGTGAAGTGCGAGCATCATTTCTGGTGTAACTTTTTTTTTTTTATAATGTTTATTTATTTTTGAGAGAGACAGAGAGACAGAGTGTGACGAGGGGAGGGGCAGAGAGAGAGCGAGACACAGGATCTGAAGCAGGCTCCAGGCTCTGAGCTGTCAGCACAGAACCCGAAGCAGGGCTCACACTCACCAACCGGGAGATCGTGACCTGAGCTGAAGTCGGTCACTTACCCGACTGAGCCACCCAGGCGCCCCTCTGGTGTAACTTTCAAGAGCCAGTGATCACTGTCACCTTCCCTTTTCCTTCTCTAGGAGTTGTAGATACACAGTGAAGATCCACCCTCAGCCTTGGCCACAGAGAGAAGAGGATTTGGAAGAGACACCTGTCCCTCTATCGCCCCAGCTGTAGGCATGTAGTAGGAATAAGAAATAACCTTGTCAGGGCACCTGGGTGGCTCAGTTGGTTAAGCCTCCAACTCTCGGTTTCAGCTCAGGTCATGATCTCACGGTTCATGAGTTCAAGCCTCACGCCGGGCTCTGTGCTGCCAGTGTGGAGCCTGCTTAGGATTCTTCCTCTCTCTCTCTCTCCCTCTCATTCTGTGCCAATGAATAAATAAATTAAAAAAAAAAAAAAAGCTTTGTCATTTTTAAGCCACTAAAATTTGGAGGCTGTTTGTTACTGTGGCACAGCCTGGCCTGTGCTGAGTAAGCCCATGCAATACTGTCTCCTGCTGATTATCTTTGGCCTCTGTCCCCGAGACGTGCCTTCTCCCTAAAACTCCCTTAAAGCACTGGCTCCACATTCAAATTTTAAAAGCAGCAGGGGCAGAAGGGATCTGTCCCCTAAGCAGAGAAGTGGGGACGTGTTCTGGGAGATGCACCCATGCTTTGCCATGCTCCGTGTAGCAATCAGGCCGGCTGAAATCCCCACCCCAGCCCCTGGAAGGCCCTAAACAGAAACTGCTCCTCACGCTTTTCTCCCATAGTCATTTATTGGCTCTCCTTAATTTTATTCCCCGCTATTAAAGTAGGAACGGCTGGGCTGGCAGACGGAGGGCCGGACTCCCACATCCTGGGAGCACTGCAGGCTGACTATGACCTTGCAGGCCTGGATCTGAACCTCCTCCTCAGGGTGGATGACCAGAGCGAGCAGCCGGTCTGCCAGTCGTGACTCATCCCCAAAAAGAGCTTCGTGCAGCGACTGTTCATTGTAATGCCACTTGACGGCACGGTAGTGGGGTGAATTCCGGCCCTCACTTAGCCGCTCGGCAAACACCAGGACCTCAAACAGCAGACTCCCTGGCTGTGTGGACTGAAACAGGTTCAGGAAGTTGGCATGCACCTGTGACGGGAGCGGAGCGACAATGGCAAAGAAATCCAAGACAAGTTCTAAAGTTCTTCCATCTTCCTATTGCCTCAGCTCCCCAGTACCTAAGCTTCAGATTCAACTGAATAGGATTTTTGTAGTTTTCCTTTCATTATCATTCTCTAACACAATAGCAATGTGGTCATAAAACATGAGAGATATGATCATAACATTGATTCTGGGAAATCTGTTGAGTCAAATATTAACGCTTATCATGTGGTTAATTTTTATAAATATTTTTATTTTGGGGTGCCTGGGTGGCTCAGTTGGTTGAGCATCTGACTTCGGCTCAGGTCTTGATCTCGTGGTTGGTGAGTTCAAGCCCCACATCAGACTTGCTGCTGTCAGCTCAAAGCCCACTTTGGATTCTCTGTCCTCCCCTCTCTCCCTGCCCATCCCCTGCTCATGTTCTTTCTGTCTCACATTTTTAAAAAATAATATTTTTTTTTTGTGAGAGAGAGAGGCAGAGGGGTAGAAGGAGAGAGAGAGACAGAGAAAATCTTTTTTTTTTTTTAATTTTTTGAACGTTTATTCATTTTTGAGAGACAGAGCATGAGCGGGGGAGGGGCAGAGAGAGAGGAAGACACAGAATCAGAAGCAGGCTCCAGGCTCTGAGCCATCAGCACAGAGCGCCACACGGGGCTCAAACTCACAAACTGTGAGATCATGCCCTGAGCGGAAATCAGACACTCAACCGACTGAGCCACCCAGGGCACCCCAGGGAGAAAATCTTAAGCAGGCTCATGCCCACCACTAAGCCCAATATGGGGCTCAATCCCATGACCCGGGGTCATGACCTGAGCCAAAATCAAGAGTTGGACGCCTAACCAACTGAGCCACCCAGGTGCCCCAATTTTTAAAAATATGTTGTGTGTTTGACATGAATGTGCATTTACTAATTGTGAAGTGTTCTTTACAATTGTAGGTGTGTCTAGTGGCTCAAGCTTATTTAAGTTATTCACAGCAAATATACCCTTACTAGTTTTCGGTTTTTATCTATTAATTGCTGAAAAAATAATTAAAATCTCCCAAATCTTCCATTGTGGTGGAAATGTGTCAGTTTTTTCCTTAGAATGATTCAGCCGTGAGAAGGAAGAAAATCCTACCATCTGTGACAACATGGATGAACTTTGAGGACATTATGCTAAGTAAGATAAGCCAGACAGAGAAAAACAAATACTGCATGGTATCACTTATTGGTGGAAACTTAAAAAAAAAAAAAAAAGTCACACTCGGAAACAGAGAATAGAAAAATGGTTGCCAGGGGCTGGCAGTGTAGAAGAAATAGGGAGACATTGGTACAAGGATATAAACTTTCGGCTATACGATAAATAAGGTCTGAGGATCTGATGTAAAACATGGTGATTAGAGTTAATAACACTGTATCATATAATCAAAATTTGCTAAGAGAGTAGAACTTAAATGTTCTCACACACACAAAAGGTAAATATGTGAAGTGATAGATATGTTTGCTAATCAACTAGATAATGAGAATCCTTTCACAATGTATTATCTATATTATATCAAATCACCACTATGTACACTTTAAGTATCTTACAATTTTATCTGTCCATTATACCTCACTAAAACTGAAGAAAGAGGAAAAAATGTTTTCCTTGTAATTTTATCAAGTTTTTGCCATATAATTTTTTTTTAATTTTCTTTAATGTTTATTATTTTGAGAGAGAGACACACACACACAATGCAAGTGGGGGAGGGGAAGAGAGAAAGGGAGACACAGAACCCAAAGCAGACTCCAGGGTCTGAGCTGTCAGCACAGAGCTGGACGCGGGGCTGGAACTCACAAACAATGAGATCATGACCTAAGCCGAAGTAGCACGCTTAACCGACCGAACCACCCAGGCGCACCTTGCCATATAAATTTTGAGGTTATGTTATTAGGTTCATATAAGTTAAGAGTTACTTTATCCTTCTGACCTAATTATTATGTAGTGACCCTGTCTATTCCTAATAATGGTTTTTGTTATAAATAACTCTTCTCTAATATGAAAATACCTACATTGTCTTTTGTTTTGTCACCTGGATTCCTGGCTCTCAGAGTTCAGAAAGCCCTTTAAAGGAGAATCCTCCTCCTAACAAAATGAATTCTATTCTATTGGGAGAATGGAAGAGGGGATGTTTTTCAACATATCTCGTGCAAAGGCATGAAGAGAAACAAGACGATCTTGTTAGGGCTAAGTCTGCCTGGGGAATCCGTGATTCTTCCTTCCCCAATATCTGAGTTGGTATCCGTCAACCCTTCTTCAGTTCCTTTCTCACCTGGCAGTTGAGAATATCATAGACAAGGTCGTTCTTCTGTGCCAGGTAGCTCAGCAATCGAATGGCTTGCACCTGAATAAAAGAAAGAGCAAAACATGAGAAGGCAAATTACTCTGGGCCCGAGCAGGGAATGCACAAATCTCTGTTCCTCCCTCTAGGTGCTGGTGCAGGGCTGGTCAGGAGTGGCAGGGCCTGGGCCACGGTCCTCAGGCACCTGTGCCAGGATATAGTCCGACTGCAGGATCTCCATCAAGGCAGGCATCACCCGTCTCAGCTGTGGATGCACATAGTCAGGCAGTGGGAGGTTGTTGAGGAGTCTGAGGCCTGAAATGTGCAGCTCCGAATCCCAGATGCTGGCGATCAGTTCCAGGACCTTGATGGAGTGTTCCTGGGGGGTGGGGGTGGGGGGAGAAGGATCTGCTTTTATGTGGTGATCCCCAACACTGTCCCAGCCTCTGCCTTCACTCTTCCCTGCCCCACCCATGATGCCTGAGCCAAACCCAGTAGACAATTCCCTCTAACTTACACTCTTGTTATTTGACCTCTTAGGCCACTCCTACCTCCTTTCTCCCCTTGGCTTCTCGTCCACAGAAGTCTTTCCTGGTTCTTAGGCCTAACCTTTTCTTCTCTATCTTCATCTCTCCCTTAGTGATATCATCCAGACTCACAGTGTTAAATACAATTGATGCTGATGCCTTTCAGCTTTCTGTCTCCAACCCAGACCTCTCCCTGAACTCCAGATTCATACATTCAGGTCCCAATTCTACCTCAACCCAGAATGCTTTTTAGAGTATTTTATTATTTTTGAGAGAGAGAGCATGAGCAGGAGAGAAGGGCAGAGAGGGAGGGGGAGAGAGAGAGAGAGAGA